AGGTGTACACCACTATATCCAGTACCTTTTTGAGACAGGGTCTTGCTAAGATGTCCAGGCTGATTTCGAACTTGCAATCCTCCTGCCTCAGCTTCCCAGCTGCTGGGATTGCAGGTGTGTGCCACTGTGCCTGGAAACTTTTCTTTAAAACAAAATTATTTGGGCTGCTTATAAACAGCTTATCTCTTCAACTGTACAGAATCCAAGAAAGTTACTAAGGCCAAAATGGCTTTATTTATTTTTTGTGGTGCAAGGGATAGAATCCAGAGTCTATCACATTCCCAGCCCAAGAGGCTTTACATTGTATTTTTCATTTCCAAAGTCAGCTTAATTAGGTGGAGGTTGTTGCTCAGTAAAAAGTATAGAATGCTGGGTATGGTGGTATGCATCTACAATCCCAGAGACCTGGGAGGCTGAGGTAGGAGGATCACAAGTTCAAGGCCAGCCTCAGCAATTTACTGAGACCCTGTCTCAAAAACTAAAAAGATCTGGGGACATAGTTCAGTGGTAAAACACCTCTGGGTTCATCCCAGTATCCCTTGCCAAAAAAAAAGTAGAGAACATTGATTCAAGTCAGCACCACCCTTCTCACTTTTATTTTTCTTTTTGGTATTGTAGATCAAACCTAGGAGCATTTAAACACTGAGCTACATCTTCAGCCTTTTTAAATTTTTTTATTCTGAGACAGGGTCTTACCTTGTGATTCTCCTGCCTCAATAGCCTAAGTAGCTGTTATGGGTCTGCACCAGTGACCCTGGTTTCCCACTCTTCTTTATAAGCAATAAATGGTTCTTCCTTTAGGAGTTTCTAAATTATAATACAAAGGACCAAGAAAGTATGTAGGTCGGTGGCAGAGCACTTGCCTAGCATGTATAAGGCACTGGGTTTGATTTCTAGCACCACAAAAAGAAAAAAAGAAAAAGAAAAAAATACAACACAAGACTCTTTCCTCTTTTATGACAAGTCTATAGAATACTTTAGAATTACTGAATTACTAAATTATTATGAATTATTAATTGCTGAATTACTAAACCAGGTTGGTCCCAATGTATTTCTTTACTATTTTAATTTTAAAATACTTTGCTTAATAGAAAAAATATTTTTCCTTATTTCAAAAATAATTCCTCATTGTAGGAAATTT